AGCCCAAGACCTTAAATCCGTCCCCTCCATCACCAGACACTTTCCGCCCCATGCCTGGTCAAGCTGCTCACGTTGGATCAGAAGCTCCTGGTGCTGAATTTGGGGTTTAGGTTTTAGGGTTTAGGGTTTAGGGTTTAGGGTTTAGGTTTTAGGGTTTAGGGTTTAGGGTTTAGGGCTCCTGGTGCTGAAGGCATCTGATTTCGCGTTGAGGGTTTAGGGTCTAGCTTGGGGCCTCGGGAAAGTAAGAATGTGGGTAGGGTTTAGGGCTAAAGCGATTAGAGGCTGAAGCTTAAGGGTCGGTTTAGGGTTTAGGGTTTAGGGTTTAGGGTTTAGGGTTTCCGGTTTAGGGTTTCGGGTTTAGGCTTGACTGTTGCTTGGCCGCGATGTGGGCCCGAACCGCAAGGCCATCCCAGGACCTGCATAGGTCCCCTTGCTTGCTCTTGCCCGCAAAGGAGGCACCTGCGCTCTGCTGCGTTTAGGGTTTAGGGTTTAGGGTTTAGGGTTTAGGGTTTAGGGTTTAGGGTTTAGGGTTTAGGGTTTAGGGTTAGGGATTAAGGTTAGGGTTTAGGGTTTACGGTTTAGGGTTTCCCTATACGTGGCGCCCAGCTCATGCGGAGCGTCAGAGCTGCGCGCTGTGGCGCGGCAGCAAATTCGGACCGACAGCCTCAGATCCTAGCCCCAAGAGTAAGGGTTTAGGATATAGGATTTAGGGTTGAGGGTTTAGGGTATAGGGTATGGGGTTTAGGGTTTAGGGTTTAGGGTTTAGGGTTGAGGGTTGAGGGTTGAGGCGAAAAAATAGGCCTGTGAAGGGCTTCTAAGGGAACCTAAATCCTAAAACAGGGATCAATCCCAGACGCAACTATAAGCATGTGAATAATCCCTAGTTCCTCGAAACCCTTAGATACACTCTAATTCCCTTAAACCCTTGGAAACACCTCTTATAAACCCTTTATTCCCTTAAACCCTTAGAAACCTCTTGCAAACTGAAATTCATGTAAACCCTTTATGTCAACTCTCCATAACCCGCTTATCATCGGAAACAAAACCCTTAGAAAAGCACTAAATCCTGGGAAGCCAGAGCCCTCAACACCCTCAAGCTCTGTATCCTGTCAGCCTCTTCACTTCATAAGCTGCCGCACGCCGCAAGCCTAAACCCTAAACCCCAAACCCGAAACCCTAAACCCTCAACCCTATACAAACCCTAAACCGTGAACCCTAAACCCTAAACCCTAAACCCCAAACCCTAAACCCCAGCGCGGGCCGCAGCGGATCCTGCAACGTCTCCTCGATGGAAGCCTGCCTGCGCTCGCAGTAATCACCCTTCGGACCAACGACTCAAGAACCCACAGATGGCTTCTCATAAGTTTAGGGTTTAGGGTTTAGGGTTTAGGGTTTTGGGTTTAGGGTTTAGGGTTTGGGGTTTTAGGGTGTTTGTTCAGCTTCCCGAAGATTTCGGATAACCCAAAACCGACTCTTGCACCTCACCTAAGAACTCATGCAAAGGGTTTTAGAAGCATCACCTAGAAAACAAAGTTTCGGGTGTTCTTGTAAGGTTCCCTTTAGGGTTTAGTAGGGTTTAGGTCTTAGGGTTTAGGGCGAAGCCGATAACCCCCCCCCCCCCGGCAAACACTACAGTTTAACACCAAGTCATATGTAGTATGATTTGTGCAAAATGGACACCCACCGCGTCTTCACACCCACCAAAAACATAAACAACCCTGTCTCATCAGCAGTCATTCAAACCCTACCTATCTTATGTGCCCATCCCAAATGGCGGATGCTGAAAGCTTGAAACCCCAACCCTCTACAACCCCCTCCCCCCCTCACCATGCAACTCCCAACACGCATCCCAAACGCACACCCGAGACCCACAAGCCCGAAATCCTCTAAACCCTAAACCCTAAACCCGAAAATCTTAAATCCTAAACCCTAGACCCTAAACCCTAAACCCTCCTACCACAAGCGGAAGTCGAGGTGTCAGAACGAACGAGGGGTCCACTACCCTAAACCCTAAACCCTAAACCCTAAACCCTAAACCCTAAACCCTAAACCCTAAACCCTAAACCCTCCGAAGATGGCATCCCAGGGCCTGTGTTTGTCGGCTTCCTTCTCGTCTTTCAGAGTCTGCGTCAGGGGTTTAGGGTTTAGGGTTTAGGGTTAGGGTGTCTTTCAGAGTTTGCGCCAGTGATTATGGAATCGGGGGGTTCAGGGGTTCAGGGGTTCGGGGTTCAGGGTTAGGGTTTACGGGTTTAGGGTTTAGGGTAGAGAGTTTAGGATCCCTAAAGCAACAAACCTATGGCCAACCTTAGCCCAAGACTCATCAGGAGGGAGAGGGTCAGGGTTGGAAGAGGCCAGGGCTGGGGGTTTAGGGTGTAGGGTTTAGGGTTTAGGGCTTAGGGCTTAGGGTTTAGGGGCCCGTCTTTGCTGCTAAGGCTTCTACGGGGGCTTCTTCTTGAAGCTCCCAGAACACTGAAACCAGGTTCTCCGAAGATCCTCTTCAACCCAGGAAAGGGAAAAAAAAACAAACCCTAGACCCTAGACCCTAGACCCTAAACCCTAAACCCTAAATTACTAAACCCTCCCTTATCAAGGGCCCTTTTGTGCCTGCACTTTTGCAGCCTGCTTCCACAACGCTTTTCTCTTCTTCGAGTGGTTCCTGCGATGCGTCGTGGACTATGAGCATGAGGCAGGTGTTGTCCGGGCTGGGTGTATAGGGTTTAGGGTTTAGGGTGGTTTGGGGTTTAGGGTTTAGGGTTTCGGATTTAGGGTTTAAGGGTTCAAGGGTTCAGGGTTTAAGGGTTTAAGGGTTCAGGGGTTGGGGTTCAAGGGTTCATTTGGGGTTCAGGGTTCAAAACTCTGGGTGTAGGGGCTAGGGTTTATGGATTGGTGTTTGAGGGTGTTTATAGGGTTTGGGGAGGTCTTGAGTTTGTGCAGGGTCTGAAAGAAAGAAGCACAGAAAGAAAAAAGAAACGACAGGAACAAAGAAAAACAGAAACAAAGAAATGAACAAAGAAATGAGCAAGAACACGCTTGGAAAGAATGAAAGAAGCAGAAAGAAACACAGGCCTCGTAAACAGCTTCTGGGAGCTTGCCCGGCTTCCCTCCCCAAAGATTTGGGTTTAGGGCCTAGGGTTCAGGGCTTAGGGTTTCCTTCTCCCCCTTCCAGTCTTGGTTGTTGTGTTCAGGAAGGACGAACTTGAGGCAACAGGATTGAGCCAGCATAGGAAGCACGTCAAGGGTGACAACCCTAAACCCTAAACCCTAAACCCTAAACCGTAAACCCTAAACCCTAAACCCTAAACCCTAAACCCTAAACCCTAAACCCTAAACCCTAAACCCTAAACCCTAAACCCTAAACCCTACCCCTAAACCCTAAACTCCTAAGCATGAACACGAGAACCATGTAGAAGACCCAGAAGCTGGAAGGAAGCTCCCCTAACTTACCTTGGATACCCTATAGACACCTGAACCACCACCTAAACCCTAAACACCCTAAACACCCTAAACACCCTAAACACCCTAAACACCCTAAACACCCTAAACACCCTAAACACCCTAAACACCCTAAACACCCTAAACACCCTAAACACCCTAAACACCCTAAACACCCTAAGCCCCAAACCTCAGCAGCCTAAACCCCCAACCCCGTCACGGCACGCAGGCGCCTCACCAGCACATGCGTCATCCGCTCGACCTCGCTCCTGTCCGGAGTGCCCCCTAAACTCGAAACCCCTGAAACCCCCTAAAACCCAAAGCCGAAAGCCGAAACGCTAAACCCTAAACCCTAGCCCTGGACCCTAAACCCAAAACCCTAAACCTCAAACCCTGAACGTTGCACTCGACCGGTTGTGAAGGCATCGGTTTCTTGTGGTGCTGCGTTCCTGAAGAGAGGTAGAGGGGCTTAGGGTTTAGGCTTCATAGGGTTTAGGGTTTAGGGTTTAGGGTTTAAATTTAGGGTTTAGGGTTTAGGGTTTAGGGTGTAGGACTTAGGGTTCAGAGGGGGTGGGGTGTACACATCAACAGGTATTTTAGCATTCTCACCCTCATATCCTCCGAGTGACTGAAAAACACACGGTTTAGGTTTTAGGGTTTTGGTTTTTGTGTTTATGGTTTAGGGGGATGCCGCGAAGTCCACCAGGTCTACCAGAGAAATTATCGCATTGCGTGCCCCGGAAACCCGGGCCCCGTCTGGCTTGGGGTAGCAGCTGAGCTCAGTGCTTGCACTTGTGGAGCTCTTCGATTCGTGTACCTTGAGCAGACTTGGGAAGGTGTCTGAACCCTACTTCCGGAAGCTCTAAACCCTAAACCCTAAACCCTAGTAACCCTAGTTCCCAGACCCAAAACCCGATCCCGTACCCTGAAGTGGTCCCATGTCTTAAACGCCGACATCCTAAAACCCTAAACCCCTAAACCCCTAAACCCCTAAACCCCTAAACCCTAAACCGGGTTTAGGTTCTAGGTTTATAGGCTTAGGGTTTAGGGGTTTTGGGGTCCAGAGCTCAGGGTTCCAGTCCCAGGAACGGTAGCGGTCGGGCAGCTTCTCTTGCCGGATCTTCTCGTTGCGCGCCAGCTGGCACGGGCGCTTCCATCAACATAACCGGGTTTAGGGTTTAGGGTTTAGGGTTTGAACCCCATGAACCCTATGAAACCTATAGACCCGTTTCTAAATTAAGCCATGATTTTGACGCATTGATTCTACACCTCTAGACCCTATAAACCCACAACCCCCCCCCCCCTCCAACAAAAGAACAACAAAAAACAAAACAAAACACTGCAAACTCTATGCCAGCGCTGGTGCGAAGCCACCAAAGCCCCGCATCCGAAAGGCCTGCCTGTGCTCTGAGTTCAAGTTCAACATTTGGGAACTTGATTCTATGGTCCATGGAATACGTGAGAGGGTTAGCGCTTAGGGTCTTAAGGCTTTCGGAGTTTTCGTGGGTTGTTGGGAAACAGGAAGTGCAACTTTTTCAGGCGACCTCCCAACCCCTGAGCTCCAACACTCAACCCAGAACTGCCCTTGGCCGCGCCAGCTGCTTGAACTTCAAGAGATGGTGGAAGTCAATACCTTGCGGCAGAAGACTTCGGGAGCTCTTGGCTGGTGTGCTCGACTTCACGGCTTTCTGCCTGAACCCTGAACCCGGATCCCTAACAAACCCTAAACACTAAACCCTAAACCCTAAACCCTAAACCCTAAACCCTAGACCCTAGACCCTAGACCCTAAACCCTACCCCCCAAACCTCTTCTGAGACTATGGGGCTTAAAGCAAGGCCAAGGTTCTGGAGCGCTTCATGTACTTCAAGGGCGGATTTTGGCGGGGTTTACGGATCTCGGGTTTAAGCTTAGGAGGATCCGCCAACAAAAAGCCCATTCATATCATTGTTCTTCAACCAGCAACTTGCAGGAATACACAGCAAAGACTCTGACGCCGTAGTCTCCCTAAACCCTAAACCCTAAACCCTATAAATCCTAAACCCTAAATCCTAAACCCTGCAATCCTATCTGCCTTATGGCCCCTTAGCCTTTACGTCCTTTCGCAGACATGCCGGAGGGGCTATTCAGCTCAATGTTCAACTGCGTCACGGTGCCGTTGTGCATGAGCGCCTCAGTCTCTCTTGCGGTGTAGGGTTTAGGGTTTAGGGTTTAGGGTTTCGGGTTTAGGGTTTAGGGTTTAGGGTTTAGGGCTTAGGTATTTCTTGCCTTCTCTCGTTCCTTCCTCGTTGGTTCTGCTACTTCCTCACCACCTCTATTAATCAAACTCAGGCTTGTGTTGGGGTTCAGGCAGACCTTCCATTGCTACTTCTCTGCTTCGTGCTTGCTTCGGCCCATGGGTCTAGGGTTTAGGGTTTGGGGTTTAGGGTTTAGGGGCTTAGAAGGCTAATAGAATCCGAGGTTCGGGCTTAGGGTCATGACAGGCTCCGGGGGTTCAGCCCTAAACCCAACACACCCCGAACTCCCCCAAATAGGGCTCTGCCTCCAAATGGCACCCATAGAATTGCGGGGTTCTGAATATACAGGGAGTGGGGCTTGCGAGGTTACCCTAAACTCTAAACCCTAACCCCGGAACCCTAAACCCTAAACCCTAAATCCGTGCCCTGCCTCCGCGAATGCAGCAGCACTCGCGTCGCGGAGGCTGTTGTCGCGCATGGACAAGACCTCCAGGCCTTGCCGTTCAGGCTCCACAGCTTTAGGATGTAGGGTTCACCCTAAACCCTAAACCCTGCACCGTAAACCCCAACCCCTAAACCCTGGCCCTAAACCCTACCCTAAACCCTAAACCCTACCCTAAACCCTAAACCCATACACCCTTGGGGGGGCTTCGGACTTAGGGTCTAAGCATAGGCCGCACAGGGCTTAGGATTCGCCTGGCAGCGGGAAACATCTTTGCCTGTCATCTTGCATAAAGCTTCCCAAAGAACCAACGGGGAGTGCCACGCAGCACTGGACCCGTTGCCGCCGCCGTCGGGGATGTGCAGTCGAGGCTGATGATCCCGGGCAGGTGCCGACTTCATAACACCGGGTGAAGAAGAGACAGTCTTCGTCGGCTGTGAATCACATTGTCTGGGAACAGGACACGACACAGACTCACATACAGTATCAGGAACTGAGATCGCAGGTGAGGTGTCACGTCAGAATACGCTAACAATCGGACACAGCGTCCGCCCGACGCAGGATGGTCCTCTATACACCTAGTCACTTCTTGGGACATGTGCCCCCACCATGAGAGTCCGAGAAACAAATGTTGCACTTATGAAGGAATCGACAGTCATCCGCAGAGCGAAGGCGTTGCAGAGATCGTCGCCCATTTCTCCACGCAAGCAGCAGCAAGAAAGCACAAACAACCAATCGCAGGCGAAAGTACTGGCTGACTACTGAAGTAATAGCCCAAGAATACGCGACAAGAATACGCGAGTACTTGACAGGGACAAATCGTGCACTCAATGTCAAGTAACACTCAACGTTAACAAGAAACTGTGCAAGATGGATGAAACCGTTACTAACAGCGCACCCTTGCACGCCCGGGACATCCAGACTAACAACGACTCCACGTAGGATCGCGCGATGTCGATCGCAACGCGAACTAGGAGATGGGGGGGGGGGGGGGGGGGGGCGTACTCACAACGCACACATGTGCGTCCGGGAACACCGCCCAAACTGGTTAAGACAAGCATCATTGCGCTTGTCCAAAGCATCCAGTATGCTGACAAGGGCTAAAGCCTGCAAACTGTGGGTCATCTTGCGACAAACTGTAAAAGTCGTGCAGCGCCAGCGAAGGCCGGCATGCCAAACGCCACTTGGCCAAACAAGGCGCGAATCTTCATCACCAATCCTCACCGCGCGGTGAAAATATCCGGAACTGCTGTTGACGATCCACACGCCTGCAGAATGAGGGTGGGCGCACTCATGCTGTGACCCCGACGCAGCACTTTCGACTTTCGTCTTCACTGGAGATGGCATTGTCAGTGTCCGAAGAGCAGCTGCCAGGGCTGCCCATATGCTTGTGCTCGGAAGTACTTTCCTCATCCTCCTCCTCGTCCTCTTCCTCGTTGTCGGTATCTGAGCAGGCTTCACACAAGGAGCACAAAATGGCGCTGGCGTAGTGGCCGCATCCTGGGCGCGGGCAAAAAAGGACTCTGCCTCTTCTAGTCTCGCTCTTCGACGATGCAGGGGATTGAGCTTTCAATTGCCGGTGCAGTCGCGTCCCCAGGCATCCAAGACAGTGTGTTGAGGGCTCCCAGGATCCCACGTGAGCTGCCTGGCCGTGAGGAAAAAAATCGCTTGATGTTGGCATCAACCTTGGCTAAGTTCTGCATTCTTCTTGGCGGCGCGGGAGGAAGCAGTGTACATGTTGCTATGGGCACGCTTGCGTCTGTCAGTGATATTGCCCCTCTGTTCTGCGATCGAGCGCCGTCTACTCTGCGTCGGCATATCTCGGGATGGAAACGCTGGTTGCAGTTCTGTGGTGCGTTGGACTGGAACGCCGCTTCTCCGTCCCTCACGCAGGTTGTCGATTTCGCGAAAAGCTTATCTGAAGGAGTGCGAAGCGATCGGGGCCGCAAGCGGCTTGCGCAAGCAACCCAGAAAACTCTCAACGGCTTAGGTTTAGGGTTCAGGGCTTAGGGTTCTGAATTCCAGCGGCCGCAAGCCCTCCGCAACCCCTAAACCCCTAAAGGCCCACAGCCTCGAGACTCGTAGACCCATGAACCTCGAAACCCCTTATAGAAGCCTTAAGCCTCTAACACCCAAGCCCGTACACCCATGGCGCACGAGCTCTCGACATCCCCATAGCCCCCAAACTTTAGGGTTTAGGGTTTAGGGTTTAGGGCTTAGGGTTTAGGAGTTAACTTATCAATCCCAAACCGTAAACACACAAATCAACCTCCTTCATCGACGGACCTGCCTTGGTTCTCGGTCAGGCCACCTGCCAGGTGCAGCCCCGCCGTATCCTTGGCATCACTGAAACTCTAAACCGGGCCGGGTGGAAGCCGTTTCCTGCCAAGTGTTTGGGCTTCGGCTATTTAGGGTTTAGGGTTTAGGGTTAGGGTTTAGGGTTTAGGGTTTAGGGTTTAGGGCTTAGGATCTCACCTCCGCATGCAGGTGTTTGGAAGAGATAGTCGCTGGTGACCAAATAAAACCCTAAACCCTACACCCCCCCTCAACCCTCAACCCGCAACCCTCAACCCTAAACCGAAACCCATGTAAGGCTTCTGGAGGGAACTGGTATTGATTTGGAGCAAGCACAGTAGGGTTACAGGGATTAGGGCTACGGAGATTTAGAGTATGGAGTCGCAGGGTTACAGTTTAAGGTTTTAGGGTTGAGGGCTTTTCGGTTTAGGGGCTTTTCGGTTTAGGGTTTAGGGCTACTGGGTTGCAGGACGTGGGGATTCTAGGGTCTTAGGGTTTTGGGGTTGAGGGTGTTTAGTCTAGGCCTTCTAGGGGTTTAGGCGTGGTAACTTGCAAGCGCGGCCTTTGGGGGTGGAGAGGAGATCTGGGGCTGGATCTACAGGACGTCGAGACAGTGCTTTCAAGGGTTTATAAGGGTTCACTGTTTACCGCAGACATTGGATCTGCTCCGTATACTCTAAACCCTAAACCCTAAACTCTAAACCCTAAACCCTAAACCCTAAACCCTAGACCCTGGACCCTAGACCCTAACCCTAAACCCTAAACCCTAGACCACCCAGCATGGCTCGTGGGACTTGCTGGTGCTTGGGAGGATCTTCGGAACCCCAACCAACGGGGCCCCCAACGCACCGTCATGAAGTACATAGGCGAGAGACACAAGCTTGAAGCGTGCGCTGAATGCCCTTCGGTGTACAAGATTCTTGACGGCGCCGTTGCTACGATTTGGTACAACTACGACGAGGTTTAATTTTCTTACACAAAGACTATGATGGTGATTGCTACTCCGACAACGACGATGACCACTGCCAAAATTTCTCTGTTGACCTCCTGCTGAAGCACAAGTCTCCAGGCTTCAAGTCAAACTGGGGCCCAGCAACAATGGCGTTTAGGCGGGGTTTGGGGTTTAGGCTTTCGGGTTTAGGCTTTAGGGTTTAGGGTTTAGAGCTTAGGGTTTAGGGTTTAGGGCGAAGTGAGCCGAGGGACATCGAGGTGGCAGCCGTTTAGATGTAGCTGTCGCAAGTCGCGATTCCCACCTGGGCTTGCGATGCACAAGCAAGGAAGGCGTCGCAGCCTCCCTAAACCCTAAACCCTAAACCCTAAACCCCTGACCTCTAAAGCAAGGAGAGTCTGCAGCTGCGTCGAACTGCACAGTGTAGGGTTTGTGGCTTAGGGGCTTAGGGTCTGAAATCTGAAGGGTTTTTCTTGCAGCTTGTGCCCAATGAGCAGACGCCAGCAGCAACAAGGAAGATCGCAGGCGTCGCAACTGCCTACTCGGGACGGCCCAATCACGAGACAAGGCGCAAACTGGCGCAAGTGCTCGAATTCTGAAAAGCACGGGCTCAGGACTTAGGGTGTCTAAGGATCCCTAGGTGTGTTGCTTGGGGCTTAGGGGTTTGGGGGTTTAGGGGTTTGGGCTTTAGGGGTTTAGGGTTTAGGGCTGGTCGAAACCAGGTCCAAAGAACATGGTTTACACAACATTGTCTGACATGCGGCGCAGCGTGATGGCCCAGGCGATCGCGGACTCCTTGCGAGGGTTTCGGGCTCGAAGCAAGAAATCGGCTGGGTACAACCCGTTACTGTGTTGAGGGGGTAAGCCCTCAGCCCCTTCTTAAATCACACCTTGTCTTGGTAGCCCAGGAACCGTCTCATTATGAGGGTGCACGTTTGGTTGGTTACTTGATAAGGGAACCTTGAACCAAAAAAGGGTAAACAAGTGTTTAGGGTTTAGGAGAACCGCTGGCCTACCAAGGCATGCCAGTGCGTCCTCATCAAAGAGGTTTCCACTGAGGTTTAGCGACCGCAATGCCTGGGCAGGAGCGGTGTGAGCCGCTGGCACGCTGGAGCTGGGTTTGGTGTTTGTAGGGTCTTGGGGTCTTGGGATACATTTGCCGGGGGGGAGGGGGGGGGGGGAGGGGGGGGGGGGGGGGAGAGGGGGGGGGGGAGAGGGGGGGGGGGGGAGAGGGGGGGGGGGAGGGGGGGGGGGGGAGAGGGGGGGGGGGGGGAGAGGGGGGGGGGGGAGAGGGGGGGGCGGGGGAGAGGGGGGGGGAGAGGGGGGGGGGAGGGGGGAAGGTTCGAGAAAGTGGTGGTTAAACCCAACTTCCTAGACCTTAAACCCTCTAAACTCTAAACCCTAAACCCTAAACCCGAAACCCTAAACCCTAAACCCTAAACCCTAAACAGAAAGAGGTTTCGGGTTCGCAGGGCTTTGCCCTTGGCCAGCTCATCCCGCAAGCATCGAAGCGAGCCTTGTTGACAGCAACAACCTTGGCCAGATTCCTGAGTGGGCTTAGGGTTTAGGGTTTAGGGTTTAGGGTTAAAGGGTTTAGGGCCTAGGGTTTAGGATGATGTGTTGTGCAAGTCGCACTGAGCTTGTAGGAAAACGAGTGGAAAAACTGAACACAGCTCACAGACCAGCTTTGTTTGTGGCTTGAGACGCAAAGCAAGCACTCATTGAAAAACTCGCGCAGTCATACGTGCCCTCCCTCGAATTACCCCCCTCCTCCCCAAGTCAAACCTAACCCTAAACCCTAAACCCTAAACCCTATACACTCGAAACCCCCTTTGCAGCCCAGGCGTCACAAGCCCGGCTTGACCTAGAAGAGTATGCTGGAGGCTCAGGTGCCTGCGGAGGGCAGGCCTAGGGTTTAGGGTTTAGGGTTTAGGGTTTAGGGTTGAGGGTTTAGGGTTTATGGTTTAGGGTTTAGGGTTCAGGGCTGAGGGGGCTTAGCACGGCAAAAGGTGGTGAGCAGAGTACAGGCCTGGAAAATCCTCACGAAGAACCCTGTCAGTTCCAAGGGCTCAGGGCTTCGGGCTCCGGCTCCAGATCTCCAGGCTGCTGGGGTAATTAGGAGGGGATAAGATTTGGGAGACCCTTGGGGATATAGACCCTCTGAATAAGGTCCCTGTTTAAGAGAGCCACAAGAGGGTTCAGAAGGGATCCCTTTTAGGGGTCCCCCTTATCCTACCTAGGTTAGGCTAGGTTGCCCAGTAACCTAGGAAAATGAGGGCGCCCCTTTTTGCTGAAAGGTATGGCTTAAGGTTTCGGCTTAGGGGGAGGGCTGGGGAACTGCGAGGTTTCCAAACGTAGCTTCACTAGGGCAGGCATTTACCTCGTGGCTTCAACACATAGGGCCACAGGCTCCAAACCCCAAACCCTAAACCCTCAACCCCAAAACCTACCTTCAGAACCCAGAGCCTCCTTTGTTGTAGGTTCCCGAAGAATCGTATAAGGAGTTTTGTAGGAATAACCTACTAAAAGTAGGTTTTGGGTTCTTAAGGTAAGCCCTAAACTCTGAACCTAAATGCTGGACACCCCCCCCATGGGTGGTTGTCAAAGCTATGATCCCTTTTGGGGTACCCTACATATTAAGTGCCGTATGATAATGGGGATCCGAAAAGGGACCGCAATTTTGAAACCACCCCCATGCCTCAGCGCGGTGTTTCCGGGGATCGACACGATCAGCGAGTAGAAGCCGTTGTCGGTGTCCTCGGCCGTACCACAGTTTAAGGTGTTACCCGCTGCACTACAGGCACCCGACCCTGAACCCGCAAACGCCCTCAGGTTGCATGAGAGTGTGGGGATTCAGGTTGCATGAGACCACGTTCACCTACAACTTGCAACCCTCAGTTAAACCTTTAAAGCCTCCCAGATACCCCAACAAAACCCCCACAGACCTCAGAAACCCGAAGGGGAATCCATAGAAACCACTTCCCCAAACCCTAAACCCTAAACCCTGCACCCTGAGCCCTGCGTCCTAACCCGGTTCATGCTTAGAAAAGCGGCCCTTTGGTCGCAACGGTCCATGAGGACCTTCTCCTGGCAACGTGCTGCTCTGCGCGACGAGAGGCTTCGGGGTTGAGGGTTTGAGGGTTTAGGGTTTAGGGTTTGGCGGTTTAGGGTTTAGGGTTTGAGGGTTTGAAGGTTTGGGGTTGGAGGGTTTAAGATTTGGGGTCTAGGCATTGCATTGGGTTCAGGGTTGCTTGGGTTTTAAGGGGGTAAGGGTTTGGGGTTTAGCTTTTGAGGGCTTAGGGTTTGGTGTTTAGGCTGTGGGGTTCAGGGTTTGGGTGTTAAGGGCGTAGGGCTTGGGGTTTAGGTTTCGGGGGCTTAGGGTTTAGGCTTTGGGGTTTCAAGGGTTCGGGTTTGAGGTACAGGGTATGGGGTGGTCTGCCTGGGGTCAGACATGTATCTTCTGTTAAAGGAAGCTGTTCCTCAGTCAAATGGCGCAATTCCCCTGAAGGGTGTCTATGTATTGAACCTCGAGTATGAAGTATCCTGGGCGCTCAATACCCCAGCCCAAAAAAGGTTTACCTTTAATATATATATATATATACAGATAGCAGGATTCTATATAACCAAAAAGGCCAAAGGTTACCTATCCAGTGCCTTGGTACATGTTCATGTTCCTCCCTGCCTTGACAAGGGAGCATGGCTACTCAGAGATCGGTCCAGGGACTGGGTTGTCCTTCTCTGCGGGAGCTCTGCTTGAAAACGATCCTTTAGGCCCCACCCTTCTCCACCACGCAGCAGCAACATTTGGGGGGGGGGGGGGTCGAAATTGGGGTACCGTATTGGGGTCCCTATTATGAGGGAATCCTGCTATTTGGGGTCTATAGTAGGGGTCCCTTCTTTTCGTAAACCCCCCATAGAATCTCAACCCCCGAACGTTGTACCCCCCAAGCCAGCACTTGCCGAAGCCTTAAACCTTGTTTGGCGGGTTGAGGGTTCAGGGTTCAGGGTTCAGGGTTTAGGGTTTAGGGTTGCCAGTTACAACCCAAAAAGGCACCAGCGTGATGTTCACGTGCAGGGCATCTGCTATGCTGCGATGGCCGATGGTGGTCCTGTGCTTCAGGTGGGTTGAGGGAAGCTTGCGCAGATCTTTCCAAGGTTTTTGTGGGAAACCCTAAACCCTAAACCCTAAACCCTAAACCCTAAACCCTAAACCCTAAACCCTAAACCCTAAACCCTAAACCCTAAACAGAACACTCATTGAGGCTTTGGCTGCTTCTGGCGGCTCCATCAAACTCCCAAACTCCCCTACACAAAAGAGTTTAAGGGCAAGTGCGAGGGCTTGTGCAGCAGTATACTGGGCTTCTTCTGAACCAGGGTCGCTCCTGCGGTTCCTCTTTGTGCAGGGGTTTCGGGTTTAGGGTTGAGGGTTTAGGGTTTAGGGTTTGGGGTTTAGGGTTTAGGGTTTAGGGAGCAGGTCGACTCTCAAAGCCAAAGCGGCCCCTGGTTGTAGGAGATGTTGAGTATCTTCAGCAGAGGAAGGGTGACCTGCATGGATTCAGTAGGGTTTAGGGTTTAGGGTTTAGGGTTTAGGGTTTAGGGTTTAGGGTTTAGGGTTTAGGGTTTAGGGTTTAGGGTTTAGGGTTTAGGGTTTAGGGTTTAGGGTTTAGGGTTTAGGTTTAGGGTTTAGGGTTCTGGAGGATGTGGGGTTTTGGGTTTAGGGGTTCTCAAGGGCTTGGGGGCTAAGGTGCCTCCGCGCATTTGTCAACCATACTGCCCTTCGTTCTGCTTAGCTACGTCGTCAGGCTTCTGACGATGGCTCAGGGATCCTAATTATTTTGGTTTTGATGTTGCATTATGGAAGTAGCCGTGCAACCAATTTGAAAAAAGTAAAAATGGTATTAGTCGTTCAGCAAATATATAAACATCTGTTAAAACAATCGATTTTTGATGGATTAAAACAACAATCAAAATTTGAAATTAAAATGTCACTTTCCTCAAACCCTAAGCCCTGAGCCCTAAGCCCTAAACCCTAAACCCTAAACCTCCCCCCGTATACTAACAGTCCTTAATAGGAATTTATAGTACTGCCTTTTAGAATCCCTACCAAAGACAGCTAGTAGAAGCGTGAACATCCCAAGTGATCACTGTCATCGCTGTGTTGCGTAAGGTTCGGTTGTTGATCAAAAGTACTGTCCCCAACGATGCACCCTGCTTCCTTTTTTCAAGTACTGTCCCCAACAATGCCCTACGTTTCCTTTCTCAACCCAATCGGATTCCAAAAGCAAATTCCCCGAAGGACCTCTAGATCAACCCCCCAAATTTCGACGTCGCGAGCGGTCAAGCGCCAATTGGGCAGCTCAAAAAGGCTGATAAGGTTTAGAGCTGACTCGAACACTTGATTGACTTTCAACCCTAAAACACTATTCTGAACACTCTCAACCAGCATCTCTCAACCCCAAACCCTTAAACCCTAAACCCCAAACCCGAAGGCCCTAAACATTATTATCCCCAGACCCCAAGCCACTAAAACCCCCTAAAGCCCCTAAAGCCCGTAAAGCCCTTAAAACCCCTAAAGCCCCTAAAGCCCCTAAACCCTAAACCCTAAACCCTGAACCCTGAACCCTAAACCCTAAACCCTAAAAATCCCCTAAAGCCCCTCGTGTTCGCTGGCCTCGGCTGCCCGGACGGCAAACTGCAGCGTAGAGGACGCCTCTGTCAATTTTCCAGACCATGCGACCTGAAACGGTTTAGGGTTTAGGGTTTAGGGTTTAGGGCTTAGGGCTTAGGGCTTAGGGTTTAGGGCTTAGGTCTTAAGGCTTAGGGCCTAGGGTTGGGTTACCACTTTTTCGTGCTAGGTAGTTGCAGAGAAATGGTGAATTGGGTACCATATAGGGTTTTATGGGGTTTAGGGTTGACTTAGACCTCCCCTCCCCCCAGTGGCATATCCTTGTTGGGGTCGCTCCGGTTGTTTAGGGTTCAGGGTTCAGGGTTCAGGGTTTAGGGTTTAGGGTTTAGGGTTTCTGTGCTTGGCCAACGTCACGTTGTGAAAGAGAATTAAACCCTAGACCCTAAACCCAGTTAGACTGTTCAGTGTTTAGGGTTTAGGGTTTATAGGGTCTAGGGTGGTATTGTGGCCTACTTAAGTAGAGGTCGAAAACTCCTCGCAACCTCGTGTAGGAAACACTGCGGCCATCGGTGGCGACTTCAAAAAGACACTTTAAACAAAACAACGTAAACAAAGTATAAACCAAAAACCCTAGATTCCCACTCATGCTCACGGCACTTTGGCGCGGCAATGCATTCTCACGGCTTAGGGGTTAGTGCTGTAGGGTGTTTAAGTGTTTAGCAACCCTAAACCCTAAACCCTAAACCCTAAACCCTAAACCCTAAACCCTAAACCCTAAACCCTAAACCCTAAACCCTAAACCCTAAACCCTAAACCCTAAACCCTAAACCCTAAACCCTAAAGCCTAAAGCCTAAAGCCTAAAGCCTAAAGCCTAAACCCTAAACCCTAAACCCTAACCCGACTGTGTGTTCGGAAAGTCGCAAGGGGCCCAGTCCCACTCCAAAACCCCAGAGTCCGCCGAAGTGCATAGCAGGAGGTTTAGGGTTTAGGGTTAAGGGTTCAGGGTTTAAAGTTTAGCATTCAGGTTTCGGGGCCCCACAAGCCATGTAAACCCTAAACCCAGCAAACTAAGGCGTTCCCACGCACCACCATGAATGGGCCCAGACCTGTCCCTCCGCCTCCGGCCGCTTGAAGAGGTCCTGTCGCCATGTTCTTGGTGTTGTTGAGGGTTTAGGGTTTAGGGTTTAGGGTTTAGGGTTTCGGGTGTAGGGTGTAGGGTTTAGGGTTGAGTACCCTTGAAGCCTAAACTTGGAAGCCTCAAACCCTACCTGGAACTCCATTTGCCTACAGTGTTATGGGTATATGTCAGTTGCAGAAATTAAAGCTGGTTATCCTACAACAGCTGAAGGTAAAGAGAGAGTTCGACAAGCTCACGCAGTTTGGGCGGGGTTTAGGGTTTAGGGTTTAGTGGTTTAGTTTGGGGGTTCCGGGGTCTGTGTTCCGACATTGTTGCCTAACACCCTAGACCACAACCATAAGAAAACACATTGAACTCCTTTTTTGTCTTGTGTGCTTGAGCAGAACAAACAACAACTCGTTATAGCGTCTAAGGAACCCTAACCTTAAACCCTACAGATTCTCTTCCCTCAGGAAACCTAAACCAAAAAGCCTACAGATTTTCTTCCCTGAACATAAAAAGCCTACGGATTTGCTCAAAGAGCCCTAAACCCTAAGCCCTAAACCCTAAACCCTATAAAAAGCTTCAGGGTCCCCCCCGCCTCCACGGGCGTGTCGAGAACGATGCGTCGCAGGTAGCCCACAGAGTCCAAATACTTCGCGCAGGCCTGTGGTTCGGTTTTTGGGGTTGCGGATTCGTTTAGGGTTTGGGGTTTAGGGCTTTTGGGGTTTAGGGTTTAGGGTTTAGGGTTGAGGGTTGAGGGTTTAGGGCTCCGGAAATTTGAACCCATAAGCTAAGCTCTTGAATCTCGGGGGGGGGGGGGGGGATGAGTTCAGGAATGAAGGCGTGTAGGGTCTGGGGCTTGCGGTGTAACCTGGTCTTGGTTGGTGAAATTTGGACCACTGTACACCCATGGCGTCCCTTGCCTGAATTGATTGACGTTGCGGCGTTGCGTTCATTGAAGGTTTAGGGTTTAGGGTTTAGGGTTTAGGGTTTAGGGTTTAGGGAAACTTATGAAATCGTTCGGCTACGCAGTGAACCATGGACAATCGACATACAAATAGACCTGCTTGCACCAACCGGACCAAAGCGTCTGCTACTGTACCCAACCCCCAAAGGAACAAAAGGTGAACTACGGAATTCAAGTAGTGCATATGGCTCAAACGTAACGCGCACCATTTCGCCCAGCTTGCAGCGCCTATGTGCTCGAGCGTATGTGCTCGAGCGTGGGCCTGTCCAGAAATCGAACTACTTCAACATGTCTCCTTCGTGTGGCCCAGTCGATGGCAGTGAACCCATCGTTTCTTTTAATGTCACATCTGGCACCAGACGCAACCAACAGCTTGACAATTTCAAGATGGCCCACACTGGCGATCAATGGTGTTTCGGAGCGGTCGTCGGCCTGATTTATAGCTGCCCGACTTTCAACAAGCAAACGTACACTGTCCAAGTGGCCATTCGCAGCTGCCGTAAACAGTGGCGTTGCACCTCCACGTTGGGGTTGATCTTTGTTGCTGCCAGCTTCAAGCAGTAAAGCCACAATGTCGGGGTGGCCTTCTGCCGCTGCAATAAACAAGGGTGTCATCAGGTCTTCGTGCTCCTGCGCATCTTTGTCTGCACCTCCTTCAAGCAATATCCGCGAAACCTCTAGATGCCCCCTTTCCGCAGAGTAGTGCAATGGTGTCCAACCAAATTCATCTGCAGTATTGGGGTCACAAGGCCGCTGAAGCAATGCTTCGAGCATGACGAAGTCATTGTGTTGACATGCAGTCAGCAGTTCGTGGGTTTGCTCAGGATCAGATGGACAAAACTCTAACCTGACCAAGGAGACCTTCACCGCTTCCACGTCTAGAATTTCATCATCTTTGATCTCACAGGAGCCATCTTCTTGGAAGAGTCTTTGCCGGAACCTGGGAACACCAGCCTGAGCTGCTAGCATTTCCTTCAATGCCTTTGCCGTTTTGCCCCTGAAGTCATCTGCAGCAAGCACTGTCAGCGTCTCTCCGGATGCCAAGAAGCACACCTCCATATGGCTATTTGTGTTCAAACTGAACACCCAGAAAGACTGCAGCACGAAGCTTAAACTAATCAGACTGCAAGCACCTGTGGTTTGTGTCTGTGTATCTGTGCGTTTGCACGTGTCCATGCATGTCCGTGTGTGCCCATGTGTGCCCCTGTGTTCCCAGTTGTGTCCATGTGTCTCCTGTGTGTATATCTTTCTATCTTTATATCTTTAAACGTTTACATATGTATATCTTTCTACCCTTGTACAGGAGGTTTTCTATTCATCCTGGGCACATCTGTCACCGATCGGCTTTTCTCGCCCTCTGAAATGGAGGGACTTGATCCCAAAAAGAATTGGCTGTAAGGACCACGCCGGGGCAGGGCACAAGTTTTTCCCCAAGGCCCTAAACCCCTTTTTCGAAACTCAAACCCTGAACCCTGAACCCCAAACCTTAAACCCGAAACCCTAAGCCCTAAACCCCTTTTTCGAAACTCAAACCCTGAACCCTCAACCCCAAACCTTAAACCCGAAACCCTAAGCCCTGAGCCCTAAACCCTAAACCGCCGTTCAGAAAACTGAGTGTTGCTTCCGCCAACCCCTAAACCCCTAAACCCCTAAACCCCTAAACCCCTAACCCCCTAAACCCCTAAACCCCTAAACCCCTAGACCCCTAAACCCCTAAACCCCTAAACCCCTAAACCCCTAAACCCCTAAACCCCTAAACCCCAAACCCTAAATCCTAAACCCTATACCCTAAACCCTCCAAGAGAAGGCCTTCGTCGGCTCCACGGCCCGAGACCACCTGAGGCTTTTTCGGCCGAAGTTCACGAGATGAGAACGGGAAGGTTTAGGGTTTAGGGTTTAGGGTTTAGGGTTTAGGGTTTAGGGTTTAGGGTTTAGGGTTTAGGGTTGAGGGTTTAGCGTTTAGGGTTTAGGGTTTAGGGTTCAGGGTTTAGGGTTCAAGGCCATAACAATTCAAAACCCACCTGGATGCCCCGAACCCTTTGGATTTTGGGCGTCGGCGTCCCCCGACGGGCGCTTGCTTGGGGACGAAGAACCTTTGTTCGTCTGCTTATGGACCTAATCCCCGAGACCCTGAAACCCTGGACCCTGAAATCCTAAAACCCCAAACCCAAATTCAACCCGAAACCCCAAAAGTCCGAAACCCCCAAACCCCCCAAAACCCCAAACCCTAAACCCTAAACCCGAAACCTTGAACCTTCAGCGCTGGAGGGCCCCTGTGTCGGCATGCCAGTGCTGGGCGGGAGGCACATGCCCCAGTTAGCAAAAGCTCCCGAACCCCTACAAACGCTATAAACCCTAAACCCTAAACCCTAAACCCTCAACCCTGAACCCCAAACACTAAACCGTCACAAAACAAGAAAGCACAAGGGTACAATCATTCTGGATTATGGGAGCCGAGGATGCCAAGAGAGTCCAGAAGAAATGGGAATCCAAATAGCGGAAGCCCTTTCAGGTTTAGGGTTTAGGGTTTGGGGTTTAGGGTTTAGGGTTTGGGGTTTAGGGGTTTGGGGGTTTGGGGTTTAGGGGTTTAGGGGTTTAGGGGTTTGGGGTTTGGGGTTTAGGGGTTTAGGGGTTTAGGGGTTTAGGGGTTTAGGGGTTTAGGGGTTTAGGGGTTTAGGGGTTTAGGGGTTTAGGGGTTTAGGGGTTTAGGGGTTTAGGGGTTGAGGGGTTTAGGGGTTTAGGGGTTTAGGGGTTTAGGGGTTTAGGGGTTTAGGGGTTTAGGGGTTTAGCTCTAGACTCTAAACCCCAAACAGCTGAAGCCCGTTTCAGGTTTAGGGTTTGGGATTTAGGCCCTTGAAACTCCGACCCCAAAGGGTTTAGGGCTCGGGGTTAGGGGCCCTAAACCCCAAACCCCAAACCCTCAGCCCTACACCCGGGACTCTAGGTGCCAGCTGGGCGGCACTGGGTTTGACTCCGCCTGAGCAGAGGCAGTCTTCCCAGTCGTAGGCAAACAGGTAGGGCTTAGGGTTTAGGGTTTAGGGTTCATAGGGTTCATAGGGTTTATAGGGTTTATAGGGCTTACAGGGTTTATAGGATTTATAGGGCTCATAGGGTTTATAGGGTTTAGAGGGTTTAGGGTTCCCCCTTTCAGCCCTGAACCCTGGGCCCCGTCGAGCCTTCTGTGTATTCTGGCACTGCATGGCGGGTACCCCCGCTGAGCGAGGTGTTAAGGGAGGTTCAGTCTGGGGTTCTGGGGGGGGGCTTCAAAAGGGGTTGAGTCGCTGGCTTCGGTGCCTTAGAAGGTTTAGGGTTTAGGGGTTTAGGGGGTGTCTTCGACATGCAGTTCAGCTAGGATTGAAGCCCCCTGTCCCAACCCTCAGCACACATCTCTACAGCTAATGAACACCTGTGAAGATGTCCCCCGGAGCTGCATCCTGAAAAGTATGTCCGAGCCCCCACTAAAAACCCTCAGCTCGCGCACTCCTGGGCCCTAAGGCCCCGAACCCTGAGCCCCGTGTGATTGGTTCCTAAACCCTCAATCCCTCTCAACCCTAGGCCCAATCCCTAAACCCTAAACCCTAAACCCTAAACCCTAAACCCTAAACCCTAAACCCTAAACCCTAAACCCTAAACCCTAAACCCTAAACCCTAAACCCAAAACCCAATCCTTGAACCCTACAATTCCTAAGGCGCTGGCGCCATCCGGACGGTTCGGCAAGGCTCCCAGGGCGGTTGCTAAGCAAATGAGGCCTTCGTCTCCTCTCCAAGGGAAGAGTTGAAGCGGCTTTAGGGTTTAGGGTTTAGGGGTTTAGGGGTTTAGGGGCTTAGGGGCTTAGGGGTTTAGGGCTTTAGGGGCTTAGGGGTTTCGGGGTTTAGGAGTTTAGGGGTTTAGGGGTTTAGGGGTTTAGGGGTTTAGGGGTTGGGGTTTAGGAGTTTAGGGGCTTAGGGGCTTAGGGGTTTAGGGGTTTAGGGGTTTAGGGGTTTAGGGGTTTAGGGGTTTCGGAATTTAGGGGTTTAGGGGTTTAGGGGCTTAGGGGTTTAGGGGTTTCGGGGTTTAGGGGTTTTAGGGGTTTAGGGGTTTAGGGGTTTAGGGGTTGGATTTAGGGTTTAGGATTAAGGAGTTTCGGTTTCCGGCAGCATGTGAGTCAAAGTTGCCCCAAGCAGCAGAACTTGTCACAGCACTGCACAAAGCAAATCCCCAGGCCCGAGGCCCCAAGCATGGTTCTGCTATCCCCAAGCCCGAAACTTGTAGGGTTCTCAAGGAAGAGGGTTTAGGGTTTAGGGTTTAGGGTTTAGGGTTTAGGGTTTAGGGTTTGGGGGGGGGGGGGTGGGGTTCATGGGGGTAGGTGCGTGGGGAAATTTAGGGAAGCTCAGGGAGTCTCAGGAGTAGTAGGGAGTATGAGGGATTACTCGGGAACATACATGGGGTTACATACCCCGCTGGAACCCCCCTCCCCGCTCAGAACCTTATAAGAAACACAAAACGACGTAAACCCGAAACCTTCAACCCCAAACCCTGACCCTGAACCCCAAACCCTGACCCTAATCCCTAAACCCTAACCCTAAACCCTCAACCCTAAACGGCGGCTAAACCCACCCTCCCAACTACCCGCTCTCCTATCTTGTTCTCAGACAAGGCAAGCTCTTCCAAAGCACAGTCCTGCCAAGACAAGGCCGTGGATCTCGGGGGTTCAGGGCTTCGAGAAGGCGATGGCGGTGTAGGGTTTAGGGTTTAGGGTTTAGGGCTTAGGGCTTAGGGCTTAGGGCTTAGGGTTTAGATTTAGGGTGTAGGCGGTGTAGGGTGTAGGGTGTGAGGTTTAGGGTTCAGGGATCACGACGCCACTCTGCTCGAAGGGCAATGGCTTCTAGACTCGGGCCATGGGGTCTAGACGGCTACGTGCGAATGGTGCCAGGGAAAAGGGACAAACCCTAAACCCTAAACCCTAAACCCTAAACCCTAAACCCGGGTTTGGGATCTGTGGTGTCTGTAGCGGGACTCACCGGGCCAGAAGTGGTAACCCTTAAGCCGACCCTGACCCCGAGACTCGAAACCTGATACCGACCCTTAGCCCTAAACCCTAACCCTAAACTTGAAAACCTTAAACCTGAATTGAACCCTAAACCCTAAACCCTAAACCCTACACCCTAAACCCTAAACCCTAAACTCTAAACCCTAAACCCTAAACCCTAAACCCGATGCCCAGAAATCCTGAGCCCCAACGCCTTGCCTTCAGAACCTCGGAGATGTAGGCGGCCCCCTTGTTGCCCACGCCGTTTTGTGATATGTCCTGACTTCACGCAGCACCCCGCGACTGTAGGGTTTGGGGGTTTGGGGTTTAGGGTTTAGGGTTTAGGATTTAGGGTTTAGGGGAAAGGGTTTAGGGTATGGGTTTAGGGTTCATTGCGTTTCGAACCGCCGGGGCTTGGAGCATTCGTAGGCTTCCGGGTCCACGGCTTCAAGGTTTCAGGGATTTGGGATCTTCTAGAGAGTTTTTTCTAGGGTAGAGGGTTTGGTGTTTAGGGTTCAGGGGTTTAGGGGTTTAGGGGTTTAGGGGTTTAGGGTTTAGGGTTTAGGGGTTTAGGGTTTAGGGTTTAGGGTTTAGGGGTAAGGGAGGGGGGCTCAAGGGGGGTATGTAACCCAAGGTTCCCTAATACTCCCCACTACTCCCTAAGGCCTAAGGCTCCCAAGCTTCCCTAAGGTTCCCTAGGTACCTACCCCCCATGAAGCCCCCCCCTTAAGAGCCCCATAACTTGGCTGCCTTCTGAACCCCTCCTAAACGTTTAACTTTTAGGCTCCTTATTGTAGTTGCTTCAAAAACCCAAAACGGTTAAAGTCCTTAGAGCCAGCCAGAAGAAACCCTAAACCTTAAACCCTAAACCCGAAACTCTAAACCTAAACCCTAAACCCTAAACCCTAAACCCTAAACCCTAAACCCTAAACCCTAAACCCTAAACCCTAAACCCTGGAGGAAAGCCAAGATCAGTTTGGGGTTGTTCGTGCAATCTGGGGCGGGAGCAACTCAGCAAGAAGGCCACAGATCCGCCTCTCAAACCCATGG